GACACTTTCCCTGTGAGCCTCAGGCTGTTTTCAATATTTAAAGGCAATGAAACAAACATTTGATGCTTTTCATTTCTAAGATTCATTTTCTTTCCCCTAATCTAGTATTCATCTCGAGATGTGTGATCAGGCTGCCAGGCTCTGTCTTTGTTCTGGGTTTCCCTCGTGTTCCTGAGGAATGGTCCCAGCACTATACTCCTAGCCAGCCTGTCTAGTTACTTTCCCTTCAGTTCTAGGGTCCCATCCAGAAATACCACCTTACATTTAGTTATCATGCCCCCTTACGCTCCTCTTGTCTGTGAGATTTTCTTAGACTTTCCTTTTCTTTGATGACCTTGACAGTTTCAAGTATTCATCAAATATTTTGTACAATGTCCTTTGCTTGGGATTTGTCTAGTGCTTTTCTCAGGATTAGACTGAGGTTGTAGGTTTCTCGGAGGAAGATCACAGAGGAAACCAGCCATTCTCATCATCTCGTCTCAAGGGTGCCTACTCTCCGCCTGATTTATGACTGTTGATGTCAACCTTGATCACCTTCCTGGCATAATGCTTTGTTTGTCAGGTCTCTGGCCTGTAGAATTACGGACTCTCTGTTTCCATGCTGTATTGTTTGGAAGGAAGTCATTATGCACAGCCAATGGAATTTATTTCTTCTCCACCTCCCTGGCCAAGGTGGGGATTTCAGTGGCTGTTGTCTTCTCTTCAACAGTTATTCAGAAACCCAGAATTCTTCCATTGTGTTGCTCTGACATCCCCTAAGGCTTTGTCATCTTAATCCAGCCAGCATTAAGGAAAAGAGAATGTGGAGGAGAATGTTTGCTTTTAAAAGCCTTGGCCTGCAAATGGCACACATCACTTTCACTTACATTCCATATGACACTCATTCATCTGCCAAACCTAACTGCAAGGGAGGCTAGGACATATGGTCTAGCTGGGTGCCCAGGAAAAAGAGGAAATGGATTTGAGTGAAATGCTAACAGTATTTGCCACACCACTTTAGAGCACAAAAGGTAATAAACCAAACCCTCCTCCCTGACCATCTAATAACATAGCCATCATTTCAGAAACACCCAGAAACAGGAAGAACATGATCTTAGAATCAAAGACTCACATAAATTGAAAAAAATAGCTTAATAAAAACCTTATTCCAATGATTCTATTTTTATTAACGTCAGTGGTGATCTATGAACCTTTTTTGTGAACAGGCTTTTACTTACCTGTCTGCATTTGAGAACCTCTGCTCTGTATTCTCTCTGTGCCAGACACCGCGTCGCCCCTCTAGTCTACCATGTTTTTCTGTCTGGAGGCCTTTCCTCTTGCCTATGAAGATCCTACTCATTCATCATGTGACCTGTGAGGTGCCTTTGCTCAGCTTCCAGACAGACTAAGTCTCTTGCCTCTTAGCACCATCATGCTGTTCTTCTTCACCCTCTGCAATTCACCAGCTATCCCACACCAATGTTATATACAAATATGTTTCACGTGTTACCCCTGGTGCTCCCTGAGGACAGCACAGCCTTGTTCGTCTCTTACAACCCTAAGCATGGTCTGACAAATATAACATGCATGTTGGTTGCATGTACCCACAATGCTAAATGTGCTATACAGCAGACCTTTTTTTTTTTCTGTCTAAATATATTATAAAAGAGATCCTCCCTTATGATAGCCAGGTCTGCATGGAGGAGGTGATCTCGAGGTGAGCCTGGAATAGTTGGTAGGTCTCGATGGATGGTTAATAGAGGTACAGAAAGTTAGGCAGGTCTTATAGGTGTCTGTGGCCCCTCTTAGGTTCAGGGCTTTACTCAATCGGTGATCAGATCTCCTTTGGGACTTTTGTAGGGCAAGACATTCACTTTCAGAGATCATCAGATAATTAAAACTCAGACTCTGAGCTGGTTCTGGCACTGCTCTCTGTGGTGGAGGTTGGTGAAAGTCTCATGCTCATTATCTGGAACAGGAGTTACTAACCTTAATTCCCAGGGCTCCCACAGGGGGATGGCTTCACCATGGCAAAAGAAGTGTTTAATTACAGGAGCATGAAGAAAACAAACAATCATTTGCAGGCTTTAATGACCAAGCTGCCATGCCTCTCAGTGCTAACAAAAACATAACTTCTTAAAGTGACCTTATCAAGTTTATTAGAAATAAAATATGAATTATAAGACCGTGTCCCTCTCCTTTCTCTGTCATTTTCTATTGCCTACTTTTAGCCCACTATTTACTCCAGTAGCATTCCAAGCTCAATTAATATTTACGGAATCCAGGAGGCCGAGTCTCTTCTCAGAATGCTCCCTTACCTCACTTACACTGTTTCCTGGATTTTCAAAACAGAAATCTTAGACCTTAAGTAGAACTTATGTTATCATGGGGTCTTCTGATTCATGCTATCCCATTCTTATTCACTTAAAATTCTCAATGATTACAGTGAAGGTAGGATTTTTTTTTTTTTTTTTTTTGAGACAGAGTCTTGCTATGTCACTCTTGGTAGAGTACATGGCGTCACAGCTCACAGCAACCTCAGACTCTTGGGCTCAAGCAGTTCTCTTGCCTCAGCCTCTCAAGTAGCTGGGACTACATGTGCCTGCCACAACACCTGGCTATTTTTGGTTGTAGTTGTTATTGTTGTTTGGCAGTCCTTGGCTGAGTTTGAACCTGCCAGCCCTGATGTATGTGGCTGGCACCCTAGTTGCTGAGTTACAGAATTATTTTATCTTATTATACAAATACAAAAACCTAGACTCAGAAGTTAGACTTGTCCAGGACCCGACAGCATAAGGGTTCAAACCTGAGTCTTCTGACTCTAAATCTAGAGCTGAGAGTGGCACGTGAGAGGCTGCCTGTCTGCCAGGGCGCCGCCCAGCAGAGGCACACAGCACACTGGTTGTGGTGAGGTTAGCAAGCAGTGTGTTTCTCTGATGTGTCCCTAGCACGTAAGACTGGGTGCATCTGTAGAGGAAACGCACCAAGGATGAATGCTTTCTTCTATTTCCACCCCCACGCAGGGCAGAGGGCTCTAACATGCTTAAAATGAATAGAGACCCCTAGGAGGGACCTGAAGATCTTTTATTTAATTTAACTTTCAGATGTTATTGACAAGAAAATTGAGTCCTGCAAATTAAACAAATCGAATGCATTTAATTTAGGAAGATGATACAAAGCTGTTAATCAGGACGCCTGATTTCCAGTTCAGTTCTTTATTCATTACTCTGCTTCCTCACTTCCAGTTTTCTTGGCATCTCTTTTGCTGCTTAGGACTACATGGAAGAAGACGTGTTGAGCGAGGCATTGCCCTATATTCTCAAATATGCGTGATGAACTCACATGTACAAAAGTCCAACCACGTCACAGGGAGCAGGCCTGTTCCCACAGAAGGAAGCACATCAAGTGCTCAACTGTAATGGAAAGTTGTTAGAGACCTAAATGTCAAGGATGTGTTCACTTTCACACACAGTGCCCAGCATATTGCCTGGCAAAAAAAAAAAAAAAAGATATTCTTAGGAAATATTGATTTGAATAAATGGATGAGGAATGACGTGATTGTGCTTCTAAGGATGCCATGTTGCTACTTCAGCAATCATAATTTCCCTCTTTGCTTCAATTTTTGCCAACAGAAGCAGCATTTTTTTTCTATTTCTCCTCATTTTAATGAAATAATTAGGTCTATCAATGCACCAAATAGTTAATTTTTGCTCAATAATAGCAACAAAAATGGTAATATGGTGGAAACTGAACTGTGGCTGACAGCCCCCACCACAAGGAGAAAGCTTTAAATGTTTTAGCTGATGTACAAATATTCAAAGGTGGCATACACGGGTTAGTTGGATGGTGCTCAGGAATAGAGAGTTTTTAAAAGTTGAGGTCTACTTCTAGTTTGAAATAGAGAAATATGTATAAATTGGTGTTTGCCCTTCCTTATTTACATTTTTGTGCTGGAGAAATGGTCTTTGTAGCGCTGGGGCTCCCCTCTGGTGAAGGCCAAATCTGCATCTTCACACATCTGCCAGAGACATCTCGTGGCAATGGAGGCTTTGCTATTCCCTGTGGTTCTCATGCAAACTATTTTTTGTGGTTGGACTGGATCAGAATTTTATTTTATTTTATTTTACTTTATCTCATTTTATATTATTTATTTATTTTCTGAGACATAATCTCACTTTGTCACTCTCTGTAGAGTGCGGTATCATCATAGCTCACAGCAACCTCAAACTCTTGGGCTCAAGTGATTTACTTGTCTCAGCCTCCCAAATAGCTGGGAATACAGGCCCCTGCCACAGCACCCAGCTGTTTTCAGAGACAGAGTCTCACTGTTGCTCAGACTGGT